ACCTCTAGTGAAAAGGCGCTGAACACAAAACTTTGATATAGTAGTAGAAATGGTATAATCAAATATGATCTTTTGTAGATTGACAATTCGAAACTTAGGGGTCGTGAGACAAAGCTTTTGATAAAAATTTTAACAAATTTAATTTGATAAAAATTGATGAAATGTCTGGTTAAAAAGTTGTGGATCCAATAAAATATCATGTTAACAGTTAAAAAAAAAAAAAATTTAACAAAGATTTATCAATCAAGCACATAGCCAGAAAAGTGCGGCACTTTATTGGCCAATAATAATTGGTTATTACAGAAAAATTGCAGGTTCCAATTAAGACTAGCGCATTTGATTTATTTTAAAATTAATGGTTGATGATCAGATGATCCATGATGAAGGTCTACTTTAATTTATATAATGCATTCGGAATTTAAAATAATATTGTGATTATTGCGATAGCATATTAAAATGATATAATTTAAGGCTAGGAGTATCTAATTCAATCACTCCACGCCTAACTTTTACAATCCAATAGTTAATCGCTTCTCGTCCATTATTATTGTCTAATAGAAAGAAAATAGCAATGTTGTTAAAACGTGATGGACCGATCTATCTATTAACCTGGGAAATTGAAAATTTGAGAACAATTTCCACCTTGTATTCTGATAGAATGAGTGGATCCACAATTTCCATTACTGCATTGTGTACACCTTGAGTGCATGATCATCCGTTGGTCTCGGGTTTGTGAACATCTCCACTAGAAGAATCCCATAACTGTATTCATCTCCTTGTGTGGTCATGCCATACTCTGCATTTGAGGTATTTATATTTGATACAGAGAAAATTAGCAAGAAAGTCTCTACGTTAAATTGTGAGTGACAGTTGTTACACCTCTAATTCAAGAGAGCTCCACGTGAGCACTAGCATGGCAACGAATCACAAGTAAGTTTGCCATCAAGTCAAGCGAGGGATATGACGCATGTGCATCTGCTCTCGCCTATGACATCATTCCTTTGGTCTTTGCACAGCATCACACATCAGCCGAAACAATGATGACCAATTGACCTTGGATGAAAGTCTTCAATGAGGAAACTACCTTATTAAGTTCCTAGAATTCCCTGAGTGATCTTCAAGAATCAAGGAAAATATTTCAGAATCAATCTCTACAAGGAAACCCAGTTGGACGAGGAAACAAATTCATAAGAAACCTACGACAACCAGGAGCGAGTCAAGCGAACCAGTGAAAGCATGACACGTGGACTAGGACTGCATGCCGTATGACTTGCTCCTCAAGGATCTTTCTCCTATAAATTGGAAATGCTATCTACATAGCATTTCCCATAATTGTGTCCATAATGGACACGTGTCCATAACACCTTTATGTTATGAGTTATGTATTCATAGCATAACTTCCTATAAATACAGAAGCATGTAAAGGGAAATGTACACTTTTATTTTATACCAAAGCTCGAGTCAAATCTCGGCTTGTCTCTCCCATACCCAACTTGTGTTTCTAAACATCCAAAAAGACTAACAACATTCTAGTGGTTTGCTCGGGAAAGAACAATCACCTCATTGATAAATTGCTCGAATATTTTGGATCAACTTGTTTGGACTTGCTGATGACAACTATTTTATTTATCTGATTAGCCTTTGTATACAGTGCCAAAGCCTAGACCAATAATCCTACTGTAACGAGAGTTGTTTGTTGCTTTCTTCAGCTTACAGGCTGGAAAGGCTACTTGAAGAAAAAGTGAATGGACTTCCCTCAGCAAGAAAACCATAGCTGCAATTATTGACGTCCCATTCTTCAAGAGTAATTATAATAGCTCCTCAATTTCAGGTTTGCTGTCCACACCTCCTTT